TTTGTCATAATATAAAAGGTGTAAAGTGATCTCTGTTTATCTCCTCAAAGTCTTCGCTGTACCAAAACAGAAAGCTGAAATATGACAACAAAGCCCGAGCCCAGCCCAACCACAGGCAGGGCCTCCCAGAGCACCAGCCGGAGCCCACCAAGATCCTGGGGGAGGGGGTGTCGGAGACGTCACCCCCTCAGAAATCCCCACCACAGAAATCCGGGTTAAATGGCGCCAGAAGGGTGACACGTCAAGATGCCGTTCGTTGGGCTAAAATGGAATGAGAGCTACTTTCTACAAAATTGACTTCTTGGTTTCAAAAACCAAGACGTCACGATCACCCACCCGACGTAATGCTGCAGGTTCAGTCTGTTAGTCCTCAACACGGCAGCTCTGGGCATGGAATTCCCAGACTCAGTTCGTTTCAGGCAAGGTGTATCCTGTCCCAGAAGGGGGATGCAGGTGTTCGGGTGCTGGGGATTCTTAGTTAAATGGTTCACAGCGATCCAAAAGAGCCCTGCCCAGGCAGGGCCCTGAGCAAACGGATCTCTGAACAAGGTCTCCCCAGTCATTCAGCCACACACCTGTGGACCACAGTAAGTCACCCCGGAGGCGGGGTGGGGGGGGCTGTGGGAAGAGGGCTAAAGATGGAGTTGGGTCAAGCGCCAGCTCTCCACTTCCTAATGTTCCTAATGGGCGGCTTCTAGGCCTCTGTTTTCTCATCTATTAAATGGGTATAATGGAGAAATAGCTTTTATCCAAAAAGGTATCAGAAATACAGAGCAGCATGACCATGAATTTCCCTGTCCCCAGGGTCTCGGCTCCTTTTCCTCTTTGGTGTGCTCTCTGCCCTCCTATTGGCTTTCAAGTGTATCTGGCAGCCCACCCGTGCAGTTAGAGCCCCCACTCAGGCTTCTGACTCAAACTCCAGACTCTCTTTCCAACCACTAGTCAAATAGCCTTCTCTGGAAGGTGTCAGCCACTTCCAAAGTCTCACTGACTTAATAAATCCTAGAAGAGCACTGGTCCTAAAACGCCTCTCAATTTTCAAAACTGAACCAACCCAGATTCTAAAAACAGGTGGAAATGTCATTAATACCACTGAATTGTATGCTTAAAAAAAATAGTGTAATATACCAAATATCATCAAGTTGTGTACTTTTTACAGGTGAACTGTACGGTATGTGAATTCTGTCTCAACGAACTTGTGTAAGATAAAAACAGAGAAGCTTGTCTGCATTGATCCGTGTTGTATCCGCCCCCCCTCAGTGGGGGATGCCAGGCACACAGAAGGTGCTCACTCAGTGCACGGGGTCCGTTCGCAAACAGCCTCCCGTCCTGCTCACCCCTCAGGGACTCCCGGACCTTCAGACTTAATCTGCACGGACAGCTAAAGCTGCTCACTGCTTGGTCACCACAGGCCCCAGATCAGAATTCTCAGAGGGTGATTCTCTGACATGAATGGTCCAGCCAGAACTGGGCCCTGGGAACACCTAGGTCTTACCCTGGCTTTCTAAATAACTGGCTCCAGAACCCTGGGCAAAATCACTTGGTCAAGTCACCTTCTCTATAACCAAGTCAGGGAGATGCTCACCTAGAAGGCTCTCCTCCAACTATCACAGGCCAAGGCCTGTGACACCACGTTTTCCACTTGGGAAAGGCAGATCGTGGGAGGTCACAGGACACAGAAATACCACCGACATAATGGTGGTACCAAGAGCAGCAACGGACAGGTCTTCCTTCTTCCATGCTAGCCCCCTATGGTAGTTTGGCAGCCTGTCTCCAAAGATGACCGCCATATAACACTCCAGATTTGTCTGTCATGACCCCTTGAGAAGGGGAGTCTACCCCTTGAGTCTGGGGCTGACCTGGGCCGGCTCTGGCCAATAAAACATGGCGGAAGTGATGCTATAGGTTTTCAGCCTACCTCAGAAGAGGTAGCTTATGCTTCCAAATGCCTGGGGCCTTGAGCTGTCTCATGGTAGAGCCACTCTACCATGCAGGAGGCTGTGTGGCAAGCATGGAGAGTGAGGAGGCTATCCACCATGTCCAGACCCACATACGGCTTGATTGGAATCTCATGAGAGGCCCCAAGTGAAAACCAGCCAGCAGAGCCCAGTCAACCCACAGGGCTGTCAGAGATAATAACCCTCTGTTCTTTAATCTGCTGGTGGAGTGGTTCGTTACACAGCAATTACTAACCGACACACTCCCCGTAGTCAGTTCCCAACATGGGAGCCAGAGTGAGCTTTCAACACATGAATCAAGTCATGTCATTCTCCCATTCAAAACCCTCCAGTGGACTCTTACTTCCTTCTCTCTGTACATGTTTGTCCACATATCTGTGGGGTGTATGTGTATTTACTGAGATATCATTCACATACCAACATGTGACTCATGCACCGTGCAGTTCAATAGTTTATAATGTGAGTTGTGCAACCATCCATTCTCGAACATTTCCTCACCTCCTCCCAAGCCCCTCCCCATTTCCCCCAAATTCCCCTGGCCTCTGGCAACTACAAATTTACTTTTTGTCTCTAGATTTGCCCATTCTGGATGTTTTCATCCAGAATGGAAATCATACAACATGAGAGCTTTTGTGATCAGCTCCTTTCACTGAGCAAGATGTTTTTAAGGTTCATCTATGTTGTAGACTAGATCACTCCACCCCATTTTATAGACAAATAATATTCCATCCTGCACATAAGTGACATTTTGTTTATCCATCCATCAGGGGGCGGACACTGGGTCATCTCCACCTTCTGGCTGTTATGAATAACGCTGCTATAAAAATTCACATGCAAGTTTCTGTGGGAACGTATGTTTTCATTTCTCTTGGGAGACACCTTGGAGTAGAGTTGCCATGCGTATGGGATCGCCATGTTTAGTCTTTTGCGGAACTACCAGACTGCTGTCCAAAGCAGTTATACCACTTTCCATTCCCACCAGCCCCGTGTAGGGTTCCGAGTTCTCTACGTCCTCACCAACACTTCTTACTGCCTGAATTTTGTCTTATAGCCACACCCTGATGAGTACAAAACATGACTTCATTATCATTTTGATTTGTATTTCCCTTGGCCCAGTGGTGTCGAGCATCTTTTCATGCACTCATTGACTATTTGTCTATTTGTGGAGAAAAGCTATGCAGATCTTTTGCCCATTTTTAATTTTTGAGTTCTAAGAGTTCTTTATGTTTTCTAACTCTAGGTCTCTTATCAGGGATATGATTTGCAAATATTTTATCCCCTTCCAATGGACTTTCAGCACATGGAGAATAAAATCTAAATTCCATGCTCAGGCTGAGAGACCTCTCTGATTTTTGGCCTCATCTGCCACCACTCTCTGCCCCTCACTCTCCGCCCTCCTCTCCACTCTCCCTCTACAAGGCTCCTCATGCTGTTCCCTGAGATGGTCAAGTTTAACCTGGCCTCAGGGCTTCTGCAAGAGCTTGTTCCATCTGAGAGGCTCACTCCCTTACATCAGGACCCTGCTCAGATGTCACCTTCTCAGAAAGGCCTGGCCATTTAATCTGGAATACCACTTTTCTCCCTATCACTCTTTTCCCCTTATCCTGCTTCATTTTCCTACTAGCACATATCGTTACCTGACACTGTATTACACAATTACATGCATATACTGTCTCCCCAGTAGAATCGCAGGTCCACGGGGGGCAGGAATGCTGTCTGTCTCATATGTCCCCATACCTTAAATGCAACAAGCATGCCAGGCACATTGGGGGAAGTCAATAAATATTTTAAATACACCTACTGCTAGATATGAAATGCTTACTATGAGCCAAACACTCTGCAGAGCACTTCCAATAAAGTATCTCATATCAGGGGCGCCTGAATGGCTCAGTGGGTTAAAGCCTCTGCCTTTGGCTCAGGTCATGATCCCAGGGTCCTGGGATCGAGCCCTGCATCGGGCTCTCTGCTCAGCGGGGAGCCTGCTTCCCCCTCTCTCTCTGCCTGCCTCTCTGCCTACTTGTGCTCTCTGTCAAATAAATAAATAAAAAATCTTAAAAAAAAAAAAAAAACAGTATCTTATTTTATCCCTGTGACAACACGACGCTATGGAGGTAGGTATGATTACAACTCTGCTCTTCTAACAGACGAGGGGACCCCGAGTAAGACCGTTTCAAGGATGGATCCCTGGTCTCATAGGCAGGAAGGGCAGAGCCAAGGTGAGACCCAGGACATTCAAGCTGCAACACTCCCGGCCCCACTCTTTTTTTTTTTTTTTTTTAATTTTATTTATTTACTTATGTATTTGAAAGAGAGAGAATGTGCATGAGAGGAGAGGGTCAGAGGGAGAAGCAGACTCCCCGCTGAGCAGGGAGCCTGATGTGGGACTCGATCCAGGGACTCCAGGATCATGACCTGAGCCGAAGACAGTTGCTTAACCAACTGAGCCACCTGGGCACCCCTCCTGGCCCCACTCGAACTAGGCGAAGTCACTGTCCCTCCTTGCGGGGCCCTCATCGATGACACAAGAGGAGCTTCCCACCTTACAGAGTTACCAAAAGGCGGCCCCAGGGCCGGGGTACAGCTCTGAGCTACAGTAACGATGACTGACGGTGGTGACGGCACTGACACCAAATACGGTGACCTTGTCAGCTGAACGGTTCACGTGCGTCCTTATGCAGACACTGCTTTCCTTTACCGTGACTTGACTCACAGCGGGAAGACCAGCCCGCTGTGGCCCCTGAAGGTTTCAGAGGTATTCAAATAGAGTACAAGAGGTTTCTTGACCATTCACCAAGGGAAGGGGATGCTAGATAACATCTCGGACCTTCTAAGACCTCAACAAGAGCCTGCTAGAAGGCTCTGAGAAGATGGGGCCCTCGTGGCCTGTGAGACCTCAGCCAGGACAGCTGTTGCTATGGGGCAAGGTCATAGGTAGATGTTCCTGCTGTCCAACCCCACACACGAGAGTAGCTGAACAGGGCACAAGCTCCCCAGGACATGACGAGATGTCACGTTTGCTCAGAGAGTGTGCCGGCACGCTGGAGGACCTGGAGAACGGGGATCCGTCTACTCACCGGTATGGGTCTGCCTGTGTGTCTCCAGCGCATCCTCCTTCGAAAACTGGGCTCCACACTGGTCACAGACAAAGGCTTTGGCACCCGCTGAAAAGATAGGGGAGGCAGTCACCATGAGAGTGATATTCTGCTTGTGCAAGGGGTCCTGGGCTCAAACTGTGTAGGTGGAAGCTGGGGGAGGGGGCTGGATACGTGAGAAGATCCCGAGTCAGGTATGGTCGCTGGCCCTGGCAGCCAGCCTAGCCCTTCCTCCAGGATGTGACCTCCCACCCAAATGAGCTCCAGATGCCCCCATCCAGGGTCACCCAGAGAGAAGAGGGAACCAAATCAGAATAACCAACACAAGCAGAGTGGAGGTCCTGATGAGACACCCCAAGAAGCAGAAGGATTCTGGGGGGCTAGCTCTATGGAGAGGAGTAAAGGATTAGACAGGTGGGGGCAATGGGTCCCACTGCGTAGACTGTACCTTATGGGAAAGTAGGGATGGCAGACATACCTCTACTTGGACAGCCCCCAGCTCAGTATACCCAGAACCAGACTGTCTGCCCCAACTACCCCGAGCCCCCGATCACTTAAAATCCCCGAATGACTCCCTGTGTCTTCAGAACGAAATCCAAACTCCTCATCGAGACTCACAAAGCCCTTCTGGACGAGCTGAGATCTGTGCTTTGTCTCCTGCCCCTTACTCTCGCTGCCCCGACTCCAGGCCCACTCAGCTGCCCAGGTTCCCCGAAGGGCCCAGGTTCTTCCCCACCGAGAGGCCTCTGCTTGTCCTTCCGCTCCTCCCGTGTCTGCCACTCTTGCCCCTCACGCCCTCCCCACAGGCTGGCACCATCCACACACCACCTTCCATGACTGCCTGGCATCTGGAGGATGCAGCCCGTCCCTGTGCTCCCAGACGTTCCAGATCAAAGGCTCGCCACTGCGCTCTCCTAAATGCCTGTGCACCTTCCCTGTCTCCTGCCACCCCAGAAGTTCTCCGAGGGTGGGAGTGTGCCGTCCCACGCTTGGCATCGGCCCGGCACCCCGTAGGAACTTGTTACTGTACCTACCTGTGGAATCGACACAATCGATTCAGTGTGATTCAAACTGGTAAACTTTTTCTGAACCATTAAAAAGCAACAAGGCCATAGCGTCAAGACAAATAGGACTTTTTACCATTTGCTAACAGTCTTTAAGGCTCTGATCAGCGATTTCATTCAGAGGCACCTGTCTCAAGACTCAGCCGTTTTCATTCGAAATGTCTTCTAGATACATCTCTTGCCATGCCTGTCGACTCTCACTGCCCCACCCAGGCCCTTGCTAGGTGGCCCCCAGTAGGCTGGTAGACCCAGGATGGCCACCACACCCCTCAGCTGTCCTGATTCACCCAACGCATGCAGGTGCCTTGAAGGCCACTTGCTTCCTTCCTGCTTCTTGCTCAAGAAGTTACACGGCTCACAGTCTGCACTGATTGTGAATTCCTCTCCGTGGCCGCGAGGCCTGACCAGTGAGCCACCCAGCTCCACAGGGAGCCGTCTCCACCAGCCCTGGAAGGCATGGCTGGACCCGCCCCGAGTCTCTGCACGTGAGCACAGCCTGGTCCCAGTCCTCGGACTGCTCCCGCCCCATTGCATCCTCAAGACCACAGGGTGCACGCGTCAAGCACACCAGCTTTGTTCTGCCCTTTCCAGGACACCCTGCACATTGTTCCTTCCAACCCTGTGTTTTATGTTTGTATGAGAATCTCCTAAGTGGCAGAACTTTTTTTTAAAGATTTCATTCATTTATTTGACAGAGCGAGAGAGCGCATAAGCCGGGGGGAGAGGGGGGACGGGGCAGAGGGAGAGGGAGAAGCAGGCTCCCCACTAAGCAGGGGGTCCAAGGCGGAATTCAATCCCAGGACCCTGAGCACCCAGGCAGCCCGAGGCAGAACTTCCTACACATATTCATAGCAGAAACCTAGTGCTGCTTTCCAACCATCTCAGATCTCCTGAGGCTCTACCAGATACCAGGCACGATGTGAAGTATTTAAGATGTACTGTTGCCTTTGTTCCCATCAACCTTTGGAAGTACATATTGCTCTTATCCCCCTTTAGCAGATGAGAAACACCAACCTCAGAGAGGTTCAGTAGCTTGCCCAGTGTCGCACAGTAGGTGACAGAAGTGGATTCAAACCCAGGCAGCCTGACTTCAGAGGCTTTGCTCTTAATTTCTGGGTATTTTGGCTTCCTTAGGGCTCCATCTGCAAAGATGCTTCATGGATAAGAAGGTGAGGTATGGGCTTCCTTCCCCCGACTCAAGAAAATAAAATTCCAGTATGCCCCTTTACATCAAAGTTCTATGCAAAATTCTAGCTGGAGAAATGGTTCCAGTATTATTTAAAAAAAAAAAAAGTTTTAAGAACTATTCCTTAGAGTAACAATCCATACTATAAGGAAGAGAATTCAGAATACAATTGGTAGCAGTATAGGCTTGTATTAAACCGCAATAAACAGTTCTTGTTGGGGAAGGGTAAAAGATCCCAGAGCACATACAGAACGTCAGATTCTAGAACACCGACCTTGTCTAGATTCCAAGTGATGAGCAAAATATACCCTTTCTAGGTGCTCAATAAATAGTACTTGACTGGCTGAATAAGTGAATGAAAAAGTGCCCTAGGAAAGATACGGAGTCACCTTTCCTTAAGAGCTTTAAATATAAACATTGCCGGTTGTACTGGGTAGCTGGGGTTGAATTCTGCCTGGAGACGGGGAGGTCACGGTCACCCTCAGGTGTCCCTTCAAGCTGCAGGGTGTGTCCTTGGACCAAGGACCCGTATGTGCCTTACATGGCTTCCAGAAAGGGCTTTTGAAGGAACCTGATGGCAAGACAGTCCTAATGTGCATTCATGCAGGTGGCGGCCAGGACCCCTTTCCATTCACGTACGCTGGAAAGGCAGCAAGTTCCTCAAAGAGCAGCGTGGACCAGGCGGGCGGACGAAGCCACAGCCTTCCTGCCTGAGAAACCTTCCCCAGTCCCGAATCACCAGCCAGCAGTGATTTCCGGCAGACCTGTACGGGATCTGGCTTTGGCTGCATTTCTTTCTTTGGTTCTCATAGTTCTCACAGCTCCCTAAAGAAGAAAGCAGCCGGGGAGGCCCGAGGAGGGCAGCGGGGGCCGGAGAGCCCCGTGGGCTCCGCCTCGCGCAGGAGCCCTGCAACCAGGTGGAGGCCTCCGTGTTGCCGCCTGAAAGGGATGTGGTGTGGAGGCTTCTTAGAAAACAGCCATCTACACGGCGACGGCAGCCTCTGTTTCAAGGACTGAGAAGCAGAGAGAAAGGAAGGAGGGCAGGTAGGAGACGAAAGGCCGGATGTGTGCCATCGGACAAGCTCAGATGAAGATAAAAACAGATCAGCACATGTGATCTCGTCAAGGTTGCCGGCGTGGCCGGAGCCTGACCACTGCTGGCTGCCCTCCGCATCCTCCCCTCCCCTCTCCCCGCCTGCCTTGCTGAAGTCACCACACTGAGCCAAGGCTGTGAAGTCCCCGGGCCTCCGTGCAGAGCCGGGTCCACCCGGACGGGTCAGAGCTCCTATCATGCGCAGAGACCCCGGACGTTGGCTCCCATCGCAGGCCCTGTTCGTGAAGCCCTGGCACTCCCCCGCCCCCGCCCCCCAAATCCCCAGGGTGAGCCCAACAGCAAAGACAGGCTGTTCCCGGGCCCAGGAGCCCAGCAAAGACAGGCAGAAAGCCCCTCTTCCCAAGGAGGCATGTGCCTTTAAATTGTCTCTGTAATGGCTGGCTCAGAGGCAGAAATATCTGGCAGCCCTGAAATTAAAAGTGATAAATTTCCTCACCAAGCTTTGATCAATAATAGAGGCCTCATCTGTTAATCAATAAGACAGTCTCTGCCTGTTTACTGTGCACATGTTGTTCGCTGCTGCCTCCCCTATGATGTCAGGTCTGCATTCAAAGCAATTCAAGTGTGTATAAACCACATGGCTCTTCCCAAAATGCATTACAGTGACATCATGCAGGCCCTAATACATTTATAAAGCATCGGTGCGAGGCAGTGATGGAGGGAGGAAGCCGTTCGTGTCTGTCGAGCGCAATGGGTGCACGAGGATTGATCAGCGTTGACCCCCCACAACATTTCTTGGGGCTGATCTTGGGAGTGGGGAGAAGACCAGTGGGGGCACAGCTCAGGGATGGCCATGCCTTGCCGTATCCTTCCTACATGCAGGGACGTTTTCTGGGTGTCCACTAAGAGCGTGCCCAAAGGCGGGTAACAATAGATGAACAAGAGGGACAAAATCCCTGCCCTCAGAGAGCTCACATTCTAGAAGGGAAGGAACATCTTTAAAAACCCAGTAAATATAAAGTAGGCGGGGCTCTGTGATAAAAAGAAAAATAGATTAAGTGAAGAATGACAGAGAGGGTGAGGGGCTGCTCTTTTTTATGGGGTCGGCACAGAAATGCTCTCTGATGAGACGGTATCTGAGTAGGGACGCTGAAGGGAGAAGCCCACCCCGTCTAAGGAAGCCCATTCCAGACAGAGGAGGAGGAGGAGGCCGGCGGGCTGGAATGAAGCCAGTGAGGAGAGATGGGGTCCAGGAGGGGATGGACGGCAGGGACCGAAATCAACCGCCAAGGGGGAGAGCAGCCGAAAGATGGGGTGGGCTGGACCCTTGCCATCCTCCCTCAAGACTGCAGATCTGAGCAAAGAGCACCCTCTAGAGTGGGGAACACCGGGTCCTGGGCCAGCCCGGCCACTCCCGGCTGCGGACACCACCATGACCCTCCTTCCCGAGCTGGGAAATGGGATGTGCTGGGGTGAAGACGGAAGGGGAAGATGGATCTCGATGAACACGAGCTCCTCGTCAATCACCACGCGTTCGGCAGATACACGAGCTCTCCGATGCTACTGATACCTCAGGAGCAGGACAGCACGCGTCAGAGCTCAGGATTTGGGTCCGATGGGTCAGAGTTCGAATGCCAGCCAGGTTAGTCACGAGCTGTGACCCTGCCCCGAGCACGCTGCCTGATCTCAGTGGGTCTGTCGCCCCCTCTGTAAAATGGGAATAAAAGTAAGTCCCTCGGAGGATGTGACATGGTGGGTAAAGGGC